CCTCCAGCAGGGCACATTCTGACCCTTGTCATAACACCATGCTTCATGGAGCTTCATACTCCAGTGTGTCTAAAACATTGCTGGGACCTATAAATACTTTGTATATATTTCTAGACGATAGTAAATGACCAGGGCAGGTGAAAATATTCACCTGTCAGTGTGATTGTTACAATTTGAGTACTATTTCAGTACATATATTAGTGTCAGAACAAAGATTAGCTATGAAATCACAAGAACTATTATGAATTGTAATTATCAGAACATAAAAATTATATAAACTAAAATAAAAACGAGAAAAAAAAGGTAAATCGGAAACACTTCTGCAAGCGGCAGGACTGGATGTTGCCGTCAGGTGAGCATCCAGGGAAAACTTCGTGCTCTTATATCCTGGTAAGTACTGGTCCTAAAATTTTTTTTTTTGGTCTTATACCACATAGAAAATTGTCCTCTTCAATTTAAAAAAAAAATCAATTTTTTTCTTTTTCAAAATATTCAGAGCACCACGCAGGTGAAGGTAGATCTATGTTTGGACAGTTTGAGGGTTAGCTAGATTAACCCTTTCAGGGTCCGTCCCATAGATCTACGGCTTTACGTTCAGGGTCCAAACCGTAGATCTACATCATGAGCTCAGCTCACTCTGATAAACTGTGAGTGGTACATTTGGGCCTAGATATGAGAGAATACATCTATGTGGTATGTGTGCACCACATAAAACAGATCCTGCAGCACACTGTGTATAATGAGAGAAAAAACTGAAATCATGATTTTTCGATTAAAACAGCGACTTTGCAGTGTTTTCTCGTATGTTTTTTATAGTTGTATTTGCGATTTCTTGGTCTCAATTGATAGAATGGAAGACATATTACAGAAATATAGATGATTTTGATTGGTTTTAGCACTGGAAATGGCTTGAAACTGAGCTCAAAGTAGCAGAAATGTTAAATTTTTGCCGATATTCAAGAGTAAACAAACGACCTCACACGTCTAATACACGCCAGCTGGTGGGTCTAATATGCATTCACAAATATGGTGATGATATTTATACAATTATTACAGTATTGCATAACAGTAAATCTTCTATTTTTTGGTGTGAATAAAAATTCATTATGTGAATAAAAAATCAAAATGGAATTTATTTGTAAAGCCTCAAAACATAACTAATGAACAGAGGAAATGTTAGTTTAGTTCCAGGAATACCTACATTGTTTATTATGGACCCTATTTTGAAATTGGAATATTTTGAACTTTGTGTTAAATTGGCCAAATTAACAATTTCCAATCGCTTTAATTTGTAGTTGAAACAGTTGACTTGCTGATTTCTTGTGCTCAATCAATAGAATAGAAGTAATACTAGTGAAATAGCTAAGAATTTGGTGGCTGGAATAATGTAATTGGCCTAAAATGGGAGTCAAAGTCGGCAGAATCGCCGATTCGTAAATATCGTTGACACATCAAAATTCGCGAGAGCATAATTTCGTCAATTTTCCATCAAATTTCATACTTTTTGTTTTATTACCTTCACAAAAAGATTCTCTACCATTTCATAAGAAAAAATAACAAATTTATTTTTTGAAAATTCTTGGACACTGGGGCACCACTTCAGATTTGGGCCTTGGACTCTGAAGGGGTTAAAGTTATATATGGTATTGAAGAGAAATGATCTCTGAAACACAAATTGAACCCAAATCTGAAAGAAATTGTGTCATGCAGACCTTATTTTGTAGTATTTGTGATATCTAATTTTATGTGACCTCTAGAAATGTAAGTTCTGTAAATTTGGAGGAATGACTGTTTATTATATGCTTACTGAAGCTTCACAATATAAGTAATCAGTGTAATTGTTACATGTTGCAGCAGTCAGAAACAATGACTGGCAGAGATAATTTAATTGTGATCAAGGCATTAACTTATGTTCAAAAATTTATATGACAAATTCAAAACCTCTACAATAAGCACTGCCCCATATAAAGCCAAACGTATCGCAACATGAAAACTAAATAGCCTATAGCTAACTAGCAGCATCCTCAAATCCAGTGACAGAGAGCATAGTTATGAAAAAGTATAGACATCTTAACAGTCAAAGAAATAACACAAAAAAGATATTCAGCAATACTAACCAAACTAATAACTCACTTGAAACCACTCTACTGTGCTAACAGACTTAATAAAACAAAAGAAGACATACAGAAGATCTGGACAACATTTTCATACTGGGTTCTAGTAAAGTAACTAAGACAAAATAAATTATACAGTGGACCCTTGTTTTTCGTAATTTATCCGTTCCAGAGAGTATGACTAATGGCGAAATTGATGATTTGCGAAACCATTTTCCCCATGAGAAATAATGTAAATCCAATTAATCCATTCCATACACCCAGAAGTATTAACAAAAACATTTTTGTTTTACCTTAAAGATAGATTTACATGCACAAAAGAATGAACATTCAACATGACACTTACCTTTATTGAAGGCTGTTGTTGGAGGATGGAAGATAGGGAGGAGGGGAGAGGGAAGAGAGGTTATTCTTTGGAAGGGGAATCCCCCTCCTGATCTGGGGTCACCTCCCTTCTTTGTTTTTTAATGCCGTAAATCTTTCCATCCTACTCCACATTGCACAAATCTTCATTACTACCACCATCACTACCAACCTCTACCACCATCACTACCACCATCACAACCACTACCACCATCACTACCACCCTCTACAACCATCACACCACTACTACCCTCTACCACCACCACTACCATCATCACAACCACTACCACCCTCTACCACATCACAACCACTTACCACCCTCTACCACCCTTTACCACCATCACAACCACTTACCACCCTCTATCACCATACCTATTACCACCCTCTACCATGATCACAACCACGACCACCCTCTACCACCATCACTACCACCCTCTACCACTTTCGTATTTTTCTACAATCTTTTTCTTTAACCCTTTGACTGTTTCAGGCCCCTCTCTGAAACTGTCATTCTATGTCGCTCAATTTTTGAAAAAAAAAAAATTATTTTTTCTTATGAAATGATAGAGAATCTTTTTCCCGATGGTAATGACACCAAAAGTTCGAAATTTGGTCGAAAACTCATGGAATTATACTCCCGCGAAGTTAGCTGTCTCGGCGACATATGCGTATCGGCGATTTCGCCGACTTTGAGCCCTATTTTCGGCCAATCCATTGTTCCAGTTGACCAAACTCATAGCTATTTCTTTAGAACTCCATTTTATCTATCAGCTGAGTACAAGAAACCTCCCATTTACTAATTTGGACTACCCAATATGGTGGTCAGTAATTGGCAATGTGGCCAATTTCACGCAAACTAAAAAAGATACCAATTTCAAAATAGGGTCCAGAATAAACAAGGTAGACATTCGTGGCACTAAAATAACATATGCTCTGTTCATTAGTCACACCTCTAGGCCCCTCTTATATTATTATTACTTTCTATTTTGATTTTTTATTCATACAAAAAAATACAAAATTTACTGTTATGCAGACTACTGCATTATTGTAAAAATGGTATAAATAATATCAGTGCACTAGTGAAAGAATATTAGACTCCCCAGTTGACGTGTATTGGACGTGTGGTGTGATTTATTTACTCCTGAACATTGGTAAAAATCGAACATTTCCGCTACTTTGAGCTCAGTTTCAAGGTTGTTTTCATCGTCAAAGTAATGAAAATCATCTCTATTTCTGTAATATGTTTTCCATTTTATCACCTAAGACCATGAAAACGCGAATACAACGATAAATACTATATGAAAATACACCTCAAAGTCGGCGTTTTATTCCAAAAAACCATCAGTTTTTTTTTCTCATTACGCAATGTGTGCTGCAGGATTTTTTTTATGTGGTGCACACTGACCACACAGACCCATTCTCTCACATGTGGGCCTACCAGCTTTCTCCCGCTTGATTTGAAGCCGCTAGAATTATTGAGTATATATACGTCAGAAACATTGGCTCGTAAGACGTATTTATACGTCAAAAACAGTCAAAGGGTTAATTCTGTCGTGTTTGTCACCTTCTTTACCAAAGGGCTGGCACTAGCTTTCTTTTGGCCCATGGTGGCTTATTTAGCAGTTGCAAGCACTAAAATGAATGGGATATTACAAAATGTATGGTATGAATGCGTGGGATCGTGCTCACTCGCTGATAAACAGTGGGACACTGACTGTGGCCGTGTCAGGGCTGCTCGAACACGTCTGGGACGAACGACTATTTGCAAGTCAAACAACAATTTGCGAGTCAATATTTTGATGAAAAAACATTATGATTTTTGAAAATTATGACTTCTGATGCTTACAAAAAAGAGGGTCCACTGTACTAAATAAACAATAATATTTGGGAGTGGATTTGTTGGCAGATGGTTCTATGAACCATAGAATAGATGAAAGGATAAAAATTAGGTGGTGTATTGAGGCATATGTGGAGACAAAGAACTTATTCCATGGAGGCAGAAAAAGGAAATGTAGCAAAATGTAGTGGTACTAGTACATGAGTGTGATGAAAGAAGAAAAACTTTCACTATCATTGTCTTACCAGAGGTACTCCTACATTATAGCTCAGATGCCCCTCCAAACTGCAATATCCCCACTCCTCTTTCAGAGTGCAGGTACTATACTTCCACCAGAACTCAAGTCCGGCTAACCTTTTCACTGAATCCCTTCCTAAATGTTACCTTGCTTACACTCCAACTACATGTTAAGTCATAAAAACCACTTCCCTCCACTCACTCTTATCTAACATGCTCACACATGCATGTTGGATGTCCATTTCCTCACATACAAAGCCTCCTTTACCCATACTCCACCTTCCCTCCACTACAGATTTATACACCGTCCAAGTCACCTCAACAACCCCTCCTCAGCTCTCTGGATATACTTTTAGTAACCCTGCACCTCCTTATAATCTTCGAACAATGAATTGATTACCCCTGCAAAATAAATCCTTCCTTTATGAGTAGTAATTGTCTTCTTGCAGATTCTAGAGTTGGAGCCTTGCGAATGTGTTCCGAAGAAGAGAAGAATAGATAATCTAGTTGCATTACCTGACCCTAAAGTTGATACAAAAGAAGACGATAGGGTGATAAGAGGTTCATATCGTGCTGTTCCTAGAACAGTAGAGGACTGGAATGTAAGTATAATATACTTAAGCTAAGCTTAGTTTTTTATCTAACTTGTATCCAAGTTTTCATGTGAATTACAGAACAAATCAGTTACATTAAAAACAACTGTTATGAAGAAAAATTAAAAGAATATACATATAACTAAATTTTACATCTTGTTGTAATTTCCTTTGTCTTTCTTTACATCTTAATTAAATAATACTTAAACTTTGAAAATTTTTCAACTTCAAAGTTTTAATTAAATGTTTTTAATTGAATTTACTCTCTTCAAGGGACATTCCTTGATACTTGTGAAGGGTTCTTGTCCTCCTCTTCCTTAGATATAACCTGACTGCTTCTCATTCCATGGGTTCCGTATTACACCTATAGGTTTAGTGCTTTCCACAATTTTTTTTTTTCAACAAGTCAGCTGTCTCCCACTGAGGAAGGGTGACCCAAAAAGAAAATACTTTCATCATTCAACACTTTCACCTCACTCACACATAATCACTGTTCTTGCAGAGGCACCCAGAAACAACAGTTTAGAAGTATATACATATAAAGATACACAACATATCCCTCCAAACTGCCAATATCCCAAACCCCTCCTTTAAAGCACAGGCATTGTACTTCCCATTTCCAGGACTCAAGTCCGGCTATATAAAAATAACCAGTTTCCCTGAATCCCTTCACTAAATATTACCCTGCTCACACTCCAACAGCTCATCAGGTCCCAAATACCATTCGTCTCCATTTACTCCTGTCTAACATGCTCACGCACGCTTGCTGGAAGTCCAAGCCCCTCACCCACAAAACCTCCTTTACCCCCTCCCTCCAACCTTTTTGAGGACAACCCCTACCCCACCTTCCTTCCGCTACAGATTTATATGCTCTCCATGTCATTCTACTTTGATCCATTCTCTCTAAATGACCAAACCACCTCAACAACCCCTCTTCAGTCCTCTGACTAATATTTTTATTAATTCCACAACTTCTATTAATTCCCACACTCCAAATTTTCTGCATAATATTTACACCACACATTGCCCTTAGACAGGATATCTCCACTGCCTCAAACCGTCTCCTCGCTGCAGCATTTACAACCTATGCTTCACACCCATATAAGAGTGTTGGTACCACTATACTTTCATACATTCCGTTCTTTGCCGCCATAGATAACGTTTTTTGTCTCCATATATACCTCAACGCATCACTCACCTTTTTTCCTTCATCAGTTCTACGATTAACCTCATCCTTCACAAATCCATCCCCTGACACGTCAACTCCCAAATATCTGAAAACATTCACTTCTTCCATACTACTCATCTCCAATGTGATATCCAATTTTTCTTTATCTAAATCAGTTGATACCCTCATCACCTTACTCTTTTCTATGTTCACTTTCAACTTTCTACCTTTACACACTCTCCCAAGCTCATCCACTAACCTTTGCAATTTTTCTTTAGAATCTCCCATAAGCACAGTATCATCAGCAAAAAGTTTTTTTTTTTTTTTTTTCAACAAATCGGCCGTCTCCCACCGACGCAGGGTGACCCAAAAAAGAAAGAAAATCCCCAAAAAGACTTTCATCATCATTCAACACTTTCACCACACTCACACATTATCACTGTTTTTGCAGAGGTGCTCAGAATACAACAGTTTAGAAGCATAAACATATAAAGATACACAACATATCCCTCCAAACTGCCAATATCCCAAACACCTTTAAAGTGCAGGCATTGTACTTCCCATTTCCAGGACTCAAGACCGACTATATGAAAATAACCAGTTTCCCTGAATCCCTTCACTAAATATTACCCTGCTCACACTCCAACAGATCGTCAGGTCCCAAGTACCATTCGTCTCCATTCACTCCTATCTAACATGCTCACGCACGTTTGCTGGAAGTCCAAGCCCCTTGCCCAGAAAACCTCCTTTACCCCCTCTTTCCAACCCTTTCGAGGACGACCCCTACCCTGCCTTCCTTCCCCTATAGACTTATATGCTTTCCATGTCATTCTACTTTGATCCATTCTCTCTAAATGACCAAACCACCTCAACAACCCTTCTTCTGCCCTCTGACTAATACTTTTATTAACTCCACACCTTTTCCTAGTTTCCACACTCCGAATTTTCTGCATAATATTTACACCACTTATTGCCCTTAAACAGGACATCTCCACTGCCTCCAACTGTCTCCTCGCTGCTGCATTTACCACCCAAGCTTCACACCCATTTAAGAGTGTTGGTACTACTATACTTTCATGCATTCCCTTCTTTGCCTCAATAGATAACGTTTTTTGACTCCACATATACCTCAACGCACCACTCACCTTTTTTCCCTCATCAATTCTATGATTATCCTCATCCTTCATAAATCCATCCGCCGACACGTCAGCTCCCAAGTATCTGAAAACATTCACTTCTTCCATACTCCTCCTCCCCAATTTGATATCCAATTTTTCTTTATCTAAATCATTTAATACCCTCATCCTATGTTCACTTTCAACTTTCTACCTTTACACACATTCCCAAACTCATCCACTAACCTTTGCAATTTTTTCTTTAGAATCTACCATAAGCACAGTATCATCAGCAAAAAGTAATTGTGTCAATTCCCATTTTGAATTTGTTCCCAAAATTTAATCCCACCCCTCTCCCGAACACCCTAGCATTTACTTCCTTTACAACCCCATCTATAAATATATTAAACAACCATGGAGACATAACACATCCCTGTCTAAGACTTACTTTTACCGGGAAGTAGTCTCCCTCTCTTCTACACACCCTAACCTGAGCCTCACTATCCTCATAAAAACTCTTTACAGCATTTAATAACTTACCACCTATTCCATATACTTGCAACATCTGCCACATTGCTCCTCTATCCACCTTTTTCATATGCCTTTTCTAAATCCATAAATGCAATAAAAACTTCCCTACCTTTATCAAAAATACTGTTCACATATATGCTTCAATGTAAACACTTGATCTACACATCCCCTACCCACTCTGAAACCTCCTTGCTCATCCGCAATCCAAACATTCTGTCTTACCTCTAATTCTTTCAATTATAACCCTACCGTATACTTTTCCTGGTATACTCAGTAAATTTATTCCTCTATAATTTTTTACAGTCTCTTTTGTCCCCTTTCCCTTTATATAAAGGGACTATACATGCTCTTGCCAATCCCTAGGTACCTTCCCCTCTTTCATACATTTTATTAAACAAAAGTACCAACCACTCCAACACTATATCCCCTGCTTTTAACATTTCTGTCATGATCCCCCTCAATTCCAGCTGCTTTACTACCTTTCATTCTACGTAATGCCTCACGTACCTCCCCCACACTTACATTCTGCTCTTTTTCCACTCCTAAAAATGGTATACCTCCCGAAACCCGTCCATGAAATTTACTGCCTCTCTTTCTTTCCCTTTAAAATTTAAAAAATTCCTCAAAATATTCTTGCCATCTTCTTAATACCTCCATCTCCCCCTCTACTAACTCCCCTACTCTGTTTTTAAGACAAATCCATACTTTCCCCTAGGCTTTCTTAACTTGTTTAACTCACTCCAAAATTTTTTCTTATTTTCATTAAAATTTCTTGCATGCCTCTCCCACTCTATCATCTGCTCTCCTTTTGCACTCTCTCACCACTCTCTTTACCTTTCTCTTACTCTTCATATACTCTGCTCTTCTATAACACTTCTGCTTTGTAAAAACCTCTCATAAGCTACCTTTTTCTCTTTTATCACACCCTTTACTTCATCATTCCACCAATCACTCCTCTTTCCTCCTGCCCCCACCCTCCTATAACCACAAACTTCTGCCCCCACATTCTAATACTGCATTTTTAAAACTATTCCAACCATACTCCTCCTCCCCAATTTGATATCCAATTTTTCTTTATCTAAATCATTTAATACCCTCATCACCTTACTCTTTTCTATGTTCACTTTCAACTTTCTACCTTTACACACATTCCCAAACTCATTGACTAACCTTTGCAATTTTTCTTTAGAATCTCCCATAAGCACAGTATCATCAGCAAAAAGTAATTGTGTCAATTCCCATTTTGTATTTAATTCCCCATAATTTAATCCCACCCCTCTCCCGAACACCCTAGCATTTACTTCTTTTACAACCCCATCTATAAATATATTAAACAACCATGGTGACATTACACATCCCTGTATAAGACCTACTTTTACTGGGAAGTAGTCTACCTTTCTTCTACACACCCTAACCTGAGCCTCACTATCCTCATAAAAACTCTTTACAGCATTTAGTAACTTGCCACCTATTCCATATACTTGCAACATCTGCCACATTGCTCCCCTATCCACTCTATCATATGCCTTTTTTAAATCCATAATTGCAATAAAAACTTCCCTACCTTTATCTAAATGCTGTTCACATATATGCTTCAATGTAAACACTTGATCTACACATCCCCTACCCACTCTAAATCCTCCTTGCTCATCTGTAATCCTACATTCTGTCTTACTTCTAATTCTTTCAATAATAATCCTACCGTACATTTTTTCTGGTGTACCCAGTAAACTAATTCCTCCATAATTTTTACAATCTCTTTTGTCCCCCTTCCCTTTATATAAAGGAATTTTACATGCTCTCCACCAATCCCTAGGTACCTTTCCCTTTTTCATGCATTTATTAAAAAAAAAATACCAACCACTCTAACACAGGCCCCCCCCCTGCTTTTAACATTGCTTTCATGACCCCATCAGTTCCAGCTGCTTTACCCCCTTTCATTCTACATAATGCCTCACGCACCTCCCCCATACTCACATCCTGCTCTTCCTCACTCCTAAAAGATGGTATACCTCCCTGGCCAATGCATGAAATTACCGCCTCCCTTTCTTCGTCGACATTTAAAAATTCTTCAAAATATTTCCGCCATCTGCCCAGTACTTCCATCTCCCCATCTACTAACTCCCCTACTCTCTTTTTAACTGACAAATCCATTCGTTCCCTAGGCTTTCTTAAATTGTTTAACTCCGAAAATTTTTCTTATTTTCATTAAAATTTCTTGACAGTGCCTCCCACTCTATCATCTGCTCTCCTTTTGCACTCTCTCACCACTCTCTTCACCTTTCTTTTACTCTCCATATACTCTGATCTTCTTATAACACTTCTGCTTTGTAAAAACCTCTCATAAGTTACCTTTTACTCTTTTATCACACCCTTTACTTCATTCCACCAATCACTGTCTCTTTCCTCGTGCACCCACCCTCCTATAACCACAAACTTCTGTCCCACATTCTGATACTGCATTTTTAAAACTATTCCAACCCTCTTAAACCCCCCCCCACTCTATCTCGTCCGATCTTCCTCCTCCCTTAGTTTATACACTTTCACCTCTATTTTACTTGTTGCCATTTTCCTGTTGCTCCATCTACCTCTTACTCTAACTGTAGCTACAACTAAATAATTATCTGATATATCAGTTGCCCCTCTATAAACATATACATGCTGGAGCCTACCCATCAACCTTTTATCCACCAATACATAATCTAACAAACTACTTTTATTACATGCCATATCATACCTTGTATATTTATTTATCCTCTTTTTCATAAAATATGTATTACTTATTACCAAACCTCTTTCTACACATGGCTCAATTCAAGGCTTCCCATTTTCATTTACCCCTGGCACTCCAAATTTACCTACTACTCCCACCACAACATTTTCACCCACTTTAGCACTGAAATCCCCAATCACAAGTAATCTTACACTTGGTTCATAACTCCCCATGCATTCACTCAACATTTCCCAAAATCTCTCTCTCTCTCTCTCTCTCTCTCTCCTCTACACTTCTCTCTTCTCCAGGTGCATGTACGCTTACTATAACCCACTTTTCACATCCAACCTTTATTTTACTCCACGTAATCCTTGAATTAATACATTTATAGTTGCTCTTTTCCTGCCATAGCTTATCCTTCAACATTATTGCTACACCTTCTTTAGCTCTAACTCTATTTGAAATCCCAGACCTAATCCCATTTATTTCTCTCCACTGAAACTCTCCCACCCCCTTCAGCTATGTTTCACTTAAAGCCAGGACATCCAGCTTCTTCTCATTCATAACATCCACAATCATCTTTTTCATATCATTCGCACAACATCCACACACATTCAGACATCCCACTAAATATAATAATAATAATAAATATAATAATTAAATTCACTTAACCCCTTCTTCTGTATTAATTACTAAATTTAAAAAGTAAAACTTAAGTTTTTCTTTTTAGGTCACCCTGCCTCGGTGGGATATGGCCGGTTTGTTGAAAAAAAAAATTAGTTCTCTAATTACTGCAGAAAAAATGCAATGAATTAAGTTTAGTAACCCAGACCAATGCTTTAGATGTTCATCAGTATCAGCAGCTAGTGGAAGAGCTGCTGAAATAACAGTATTATTAATTATCTTGTTCAATCTGTATCTACACAACCTTAAGCTGCATTTTTAACCTTGACTTAAGTCTTCAAAGCATTTCATATACATAACACAAGATATATGGATATTTCTAACATATCTTCGTACAACTCAACCTATGTAAAAACTCGTATTGAACTGATGAAGCTACTGTGTGGCAAAACATTTCTTCAGTAAAGATTCCCATATGTTGCATAAGTGTCTTAATCTTCAACTTTGGAATTATTGATTATTTGTGTGATCAGTTAATGTTTTTGAGAATATTTTGTATTCTCTGTAATTCAATACATACAGTAAAATAAAAGTTGCAAATCTATAACAGAATGGTCTACATATAATTAAAATAATGCTGTCAATAATGATGATTTGACCACATGAGATTGTCATATATGATCCAAGCACATGCAGCGAAATATAATTCATGATCCCAGTCAGAAACACTTTTTTTTTTCCTCAGGCATCATAAAAAATAAATCACAGTGTAAAACCTTGAAACATTCTTATCTAAGAATACGTATTTACTTTTATCTTTTTTTACTAATGATAATATGTACTTTTTATTTTAGGAAGATGATGATGAAAATGAAGAAATGGAAGATGGAGAGCATTTTCGCCGTGCTAGACTACAAATCACTACTACAGAGCCTCGAACTATAGTATATATAAGACAACAAGAATATCTTACTGAAAAACAATTGGACCATTTGCTCTGTAAGTATTGTATAGTAGTCATATTTTACAGTAAATTTAGATGATAATATTGAATTTGAATGTGCTAGGATGTACAGGTATTTCTTATTGATGTTTTGTATATAAATTTACACTGAATGAATGTAGCTAGAATACTTCCTCCAGGAAAAAGTAAATATTGTTTATTGGAGATACAGTAAACTTTTGCTCTTCTCAGATTTTTTATTTGTAATTTCTGACACAGGAGGAGATAAAGATCAGGTCAAGTCATGAATGTTCTTAAAGTTTGGAGCATTCGACAAAGGAGTGAGAAAGAAAGGCATCTATAGAGACTAAGCCACGAATAAGATTCGTATTAACTAGTCCTCTGCCAAAACTGTCTACCCATCTTCTAACCTTCACAGATGCTGTATTGTTGAAGCATTCCTCATACACTGCAGATACCTTCTTTTCTCATTACATTTTCAAATGCTCCAAACTTAAGGACTCTCATGATTTGATCTGATCTTTATCTCCTCCTCTCTCTACCTCTTCACTTTTCCTTTATTTTCATTGTCTGTACTGTACTGAATAGGGGGGTTCTGTCCTATGGGAGTTTTGTCCTGCATAGATTTTGTTTTCCTATGGGCCATTAGCTTTCCTGCAGGACTCTTCTGTTCTCTTGTTCTTTAGACTGCCTCCACTCTTACTACTACTACAATTTCCCCTCTAACATTACTCTCTGTCTCTTTTTTCACTACCACTGCTACCTTCTTATTGTCACCTCTATCACTGTTGCACCACCAAGTTTCAGCCTCTTGTTTGTGGGTTATTTGTGAATGTTCCAGGCACAGTATTGTGCCATTTTTATTTTAAACAGGCCATAGTTTATGTTATAGACTGCACAAATTTCAAGTTGTTAAAAATGACGTGTCCTGTTCAACAAATAAACAAGTATTAGTTGTTAGACATGCATAGATTTTCATAGAAATACTGTTGTGTAACACCTTCAACTCCTTTAAAGAGTGACCTGCATGGGTTATTTCTATAGATATTCTTTCTTTCTTTCAACACACCATCCGTATCCCACCGAGGCAGGGTGGCCCAAAAGGAAAAACAAAAGTTTCTCCTTTCACATTTAGTAATATATACAGGAGAAGGGGTTACTAGCCCCTTGCTCCTGGCATTTTAGTCGCCTCTTACAACACGCATAGCTTACGGAGGAAGAATTCTGTTCCACTTTCCCATGGAGATAACAGGAAATAAACAAGAACAAGAACTAGTAAGAAAATAGAAGAAAACCCAGAGGGGTGTGTATATGTATGCTTGTACATGTATGTGTAGTGTGACTTAAGTGTAAGTAGAAGTAGCAAGACGCACCTGAAATCTTGCATGTGTATGAGACAGAATAAAAAGACACCAGCAATCCTACCATCATGTAAAACAACTATAGGCTTTTGTTTTACACTCACTTGGCAGGATGGTAGTACCTCCCTGGGTGGTTGCTGTCTACCAACCTACTACCTACACACACATATACATCTTCTTTCTTTCAACACACCGGCCGTATCCCACCGAGGTGGGGTGGCCCAAAAGGAAAAACAAAAGTTTCTCCTTTTACATTTTGTAATACATACAGCAGAAGGGGTTATTAGCCCCTTGCTCCCGGCATTTTAGTCGCCTCTTACAAAACGCATGGCTTACGGAGGAAGAATTCTGTTCCACTTCCCCATGGAGGTAAGAGGAAATAAACAAGAAGAACTAGTAAGAAAATAGAAGAAAACCCAGAGAGGTGTGTATATATATGCTTGTACATGTATGTGTAGTGTGACTTAAGTGTAAGTAGAAGTAGCAAGACGTACCCGAAATCTTGCATGTGTACGAGACAGAAAAAAAAGACACCAGCAATCCTACCATCGTGTAAAACAATTACAGGCTTTGGTTTTACACTCATTTATTTATATATACACCTACCATCCGACTTACGACCGAGTTCGGTCCGGAGAAACCGGTCGTAAGTCGAATTTTACTACTGAATATCAACAAAACATTTTTGTAATGACTTTATTTTATTGTTTTATTTGGTATTTCATATTTTACTTTACTTTTTATGCTGTTAGTACTGTATTTTATACTGTAAGGTTTAGGATAAACACTGTGTACAACACAAATGGTTGTTTATTTCCCAGAAATTTGGCATAAAAAAACACGGTCGTAAGTCGAGTGGTCATAAGTCCAGCAGGTCGTAAGTCCAGCAGGTCGTAAGTCGGATGGTAGGTGTGTATATATACACCTACCATGTATACATTTTCTTTATATATACAGTGGACCCCCGCATAGCGGACGCCTTGCATAGCGGACAATCCGCATAGCGGACGCTTTGTTCGCTAAAATTTTGCCCCGCATAGTGGACAAAAACCCGCTCAGCGGCCTTCGTCCGAGACGCGTCCCCAAAGTGCGCCCTCAGCCAGCCTCACATGTGCCGCCTGTGCCTTGTTTAC